TTAAGTTACTTTCATCCACTTCTACAATTATAGCTAGATAGAGTATCAGGCATTGACTAGACTGGAAAATTAATATTTTTTTTGTCTGATGACCTCAATTGTTTTGAAAACATTATGAAAAAAACATAACTAAAAGGGTAAAAATACCAAAATATAATCAAGATTATACAGTTGCTTATAACACAATAATGATTAATTAGAAACAAACCGTACCTTTTGCCAGAGGCCAATTATTTTCCCCTGTACAGTAAATCTCAGTAATGTATACTGTACTACTCTTACAGAAGCAATCAAATTAATTGCTTGTTACAATTTTAACACCTTGAATTTCCCTGTTAATTATCATCATTATTAATTGCTCTTGCATTAAACATTATATGGAAAGGCTTTGTTAAATCCGTGTGAGGTTTCCATTAATTCATACAGCAATAAAGTTAAAAGCTTCAGGTTGAATTCATGCCATAGCCAAGATTTTCAAACTGTGTGGGACAATTTCAGGGTGGACCCACTTTACGCATAAATTCAAATAATGTGGACCCATTATCTTAAAGTTGTCCCTTTACACAAAATTATGAATAATCGGGACCAATTTACTTAAAATTTGACCATTTTACGCAAAATATGAGAAATCTGGACCCATTTTCTTAAAGTTAACCCATTCTATACAAATTATGAGAAATCTGAACCCATTTATAAAATGTGGACCCATTCTTTGTGGACCCAATAGAAAAATTGTGTGGGACTGTTCCAACTGTCTCAATAGCTGGCTACGGCATTGGTTGGATTGTCAAGTTAGTACATCCTCCTATGGATCAGTGGCGGTGCAGTAGGGTTCCAGGGGTAGCACAGGTTTACCCATCTGTAGAGAAGCCATTTATTTCATCATGAATATTGCTTTAAAATTCATAAAAATCCCCCCCCCCCCGCTGGACCGCTGTTGGCTTACTTGAAATGCTGTTGTGGAACTTTCATCATGGACTTTGGATCACCTGTCTGAATCTTTGGAATTTCTGCCGCCGCTGCCACTGCTGTGGATGACAGTGGGTTATTTCGCTTTTTCTCCTCTCTGGCGTCATCCTGAATGTTAATTTTCTTGTCATCATAAATCATTATCTAGTGCTACAAACGTTACATCAGTTTTAATGAGGACTTTTTTTTCTGCCAGCAACCGAATAATATTGTTTGGATACATACATAGACTAGTAATAGCTACAAAATTGGTATCTATGAAACGCAAACATGTCTTAAAAGCTTAAATGCAAGATTCCTTCTAAGACTTGCTCTTCATAAATTGAGTAATCATAATCGAGAAACCATAGCGTAATGGAATATGGAGAAACCATATTCAATCAAGGCCTTTGAGTTTCAAGATTAATTCAGAGCTCACCATTGGTTTAAATCTACTATTAGGTACTTGACCGAAGTTTTACCTCAAATAAATTAGCTGTTTAAATATGTATGTTTTTTTTTGTTTTCGTAAAGCATTCGTCAGTATTGCGGTGATACAACCATTACATGTTGATGTTCATTAATTACGTTGAAATTAAATCGTGCAGTCTTTGTACCAGGATATACATGGTAAATGAGTTTTTATTGACTACTAGTAATTTCATCGGTCAAATCAAATGGGGAATGCAGACATACTGAGCACACTTTGTAAAATGCATTAGGCTATAGATGCTTGGATAAGCCTACCGCACAGTTCAAAAACAAGATTCATCATGACTCTTGCGTAAATTTTTCACTAAGCACTTAAAATGGGATGCAAGGTTGTACACAATTCAGCAGCAAGCAGTACTGTAATACATATATAACTAGAGCAGACACTCCTTATAGAGGGCAGACATGTGGTCAAGTGCAGTTAGAATGTAATCAATTATAGTGAAAATTTAATCAATTATTTTTAAAATGTAATTGATTATATTTTCAGTGTAATTGACCCCATGCTTACATCCGTCCCATGTCTAAATACCAAACAATACACAGGTCGTGTATGGGGGATTGCATTACATTCTTTTATGCTTGAGGGTAAAGTTCAAGTGACAAAAATTTGAATTTCCATGACATTGACCTTGTCCTTTGACTCTTTTCTTCCAAAAAGTTAATCATCTTTTCTTAGATATGTACCATTTCAGTAAATATTATGATGATGATTCCTTTTAAGTTTATGAATATAGAAAGGACAACAGACAGACAGCAAATACATTATTACCTTCTTGGCAGAGGTAATAATAGGCCCATAAAAAAATTATTAGTTTATCACCCTATCATAGAATCAAAACTGATGAGGGACAGTTTTGTTTTTTTTTTTCTTTTTTGCTAACCCTGCCCCCATTTCTCCGATGTTCACAAGTAAACCAATGGTTAGAGACACATATATAATTATAACAAGTCATAAGAATGGAATCAAATTTATATTTAAAAAATATGTTTTGGTTGTACCAGTAAACATATTTGCAAGAAATCCTGAGCTCTTCAAGTGAAAAAAGAAATAAAAACATATGTTGATTGAGAAAAAAATTTAAAATTTAAAAAAAAATCAGAATTTTCCTAAAAGTTATGAGGGAGGAGGTGATAAACTATTTTTTATGGAGCCTAATGTATTGTAGTAAAACAATATTGTAAACCCGAAACATTGTAGACTATCTTGCTCAAAACCACATCAGAATGACAAGGAAGTTGTTTATTGTGGTGGATGTTGATTACTTGTAACAACATACCAATTTCATGCAATATTATATGAATCATTGTGTAATGAAACTCCGCATCTATCATTACACTGTGTTATTGTTGCCAACCTATCTTGTGTTATTGTGTTATTGTCATCATGTCGGCAAGTGACTGTTGTGACAAAGTCACCATTTGAATGAGAATTGAATATATTTCACATCCTTACTTTTATAATTAACATTTTCTCTCAACTTGCCACATAATTCATCTTCACTGCGTAGTTGTAAAAATTTCCCCTCGAACGTTGGTAACATCATGATAGATGGAAATTCACAGTGAAACAGATTCATCTAATGAAGGCCTGACCAATGTAAATTTCCAACAAATATTGTTTGTCAGCCAAACTGTCCTTTCTCTAATGTGACGACTATCGCTAATTTTGCCGGCTGGATTTTGTCCCTATTATCCTGACCGGGGACCATTTGCGGCTAATTAATTCCACCTTGGACACACTTCACTTTAGTCTGCATTAGTGGTAGCAAGTGAAGTGTACACGCATGCTTTCAGGCCCAATCTCAAGCTGTTTATGTGAAATCTCATATTTTCAAATAATTCACAATAAGAATCGCATTTTCATGTGTAAAAGCTTGCATTATTGTGTGTCCTTTAAAATGACTTAGATTGCAGGAACAACAATTATTGCCAGTTATTATTTTATGCAACTCACTTAATGTCAGCCTATTAATATTATACACATAACTTGTCATGGTGGCTGAAGTTTGGAGTTTTTGGTTTTAAATTAAGACACATTTTAAAGTTTTGTAGTGCTATTTCCAGACATCTAGAGGTACTCTAAATAAAGAAAATCTGCACCTTGACCTCGAACCAGCAACTTGTGCCTCCCATCATCCATTCTCAACATCATGGTCATGATCATCACTATCGTTTTCATCATCATCTGATCCTTAGGGCACACAAAAAAAATGTTAAGATTATCACTCTTTTAAAAAAAAATTGATGAGGGTGGGAGGGTGTTTTTTCTTTTTTTGGAGCTGGGGAGTGGGATTATACCCGGGGATTCTTGTGTGCATGAACAGAACATGACATCTTTTTTCGAAGTGCCAGATGCATTTAATGAACTGCCCTGTGATTCAATGGCCTATCCAAAACTAGGCCTATATTCCGCTGAAAAAAAAATCAGTCTCAGATTATTACTCGAGCATCAAAGGGAAGAGAACACCCTAACTATATAGTTATGTAGTAGGCATAGGCGCCTGGCTTTGGTCTTTAACCTTGAGCTAGGCCAGCCTTTGCCTAAACTTTTTTCTTGATGTCGTAGATTAGTTTTTGCCACAACAACCAATCCAACCAAACACACCCATCACAAGAAAGACCACCCATTTGTAAAATGAGTTATTTTTACCAGCAAGAGTCTCTGTGCAACATGTGAGTCTTCATGTCCGCCACTGGGCGGGTCCATCTAGTTACGAAGGACCGCGGTGTTGTCTATTTCTAACCGTAGTTAGCGAGCTGTTTATTTTCAACGACAGTAAAAGCCGAAATTCGACAAGTTAAGTTTAATTAAAATTGTACTAGGCAGTCTTTTACTCCACATTCAAAATATTTGGTCTGTTTTCTTCTGTAGATTTTAATGTATACATCCCTTTGGAAGAGTAGTGTTTTCACAGAGAAGGCTACCCTACCGACAGAAAATGCAAATAAATACCATTTTAGAGATGATGATACAAATGCTGAACATATATAGCCTATTTCTGTTTCTTTCTCTTTTCTTTCTTTATAATTTATATATTGGTAATTTTAATATCATAATTAAGTATTGTAAATGCTTGAATATGTGCCGCTCTCGAATAAGCGCCGCACCAAACCTGATTTTTTTTCACTAAGCGCAGATGTGTTTATCATTTCTCTCTCTCTTTCATTTTTGAAATAAATCAATCTCTTCGCTTAAGTTTATTATTTTTATTCAATTTTTAATCTTTTTTACTTATGGAAAAGTGAAGAAAAGGGTTGATAATTAATAATTATTATAAAGATGTTGTTGGTTAATCAAGCCTAAAACTGAACTTCTATTGAAAATAACCAATGTGTAATTTTGGGATTTTTTTTTTGTCGTTTTAATGAGAAGAGAGGAAGGAATATTATAGTGTGCATGTTTTTATGAAAATTTAAAACAATTTTAAGGGAAAAGAGTAAGTTATGAATTCTATTGAAATTATGAAAATACTGGATGACTGTTAGTAGGATTATATATCAATAGTAGTAAGTATCAAGTACCTCATAATGATATGTATGCATGTTGTTTTCCACAGCCGACAGGAAATATGGAATATCCTATTCCTTATTGCAGCATTATGGAAGTTCACCCTTTGACACGCTGGCAGGTTGGACAGAATTGCTGCTTGCGTATCAGCATACCATCAGGCTCAGTAATTTTGCAGGTAACATCTTTCAAAGACATTTTATAATAATAATAATAATAATAATAATAATAATAATAATAATAATAATAATAATAATAATGATATATTGATGCTTGTGGTATGTAAGCACATAGATAGTTATAAAAAGAACTGGTATTTGTTGAGAATGTCTAATGTTTCAATTGAGTTGCTTCAATTTGATTATTTTTTAATAATAAAAATAGTTGTGCATCATCTGAATGAAAATGGTATTTTCATATTTAAAGGTTTTAAAAATATAAACAATAAGGTTAAATAAATAGAAGTTACAATCAGATCCTTGGTTATTAAAGTAAAGGCCTACACAAACAATAATATTAAAAGTGTAGGCCTAAACAAAAAATATTTAATTTATTGCAAAGTTTTTCTGAATGAATTAAAGTGTAGGCCTACACAAAAAATAATATATAATTGTTGCAAAGTTTTCCTTTTAATTAAGAATAAACCAACTATAATGTCACTAAATGTGTGTTAACGATTACAATTTTTAAAAACTGTTATATATAGAACTGAGCGGTTACAAATACCTGCCTAAACAATTTAGTAGCATGTGAAAAATACTTTTTATAACATTGCACGCATTACGAATTATCCATGCATTTATTTGAATTGATTTCAATTGGGCTAAAAATATCGTTCGAAAAGGTTTTGCAGGCTAGGATAGCCTATGCCCATAACAATAGCGTATAATTATGATGGTAGGACTGAGGGATAGCCCTGACTATGGACATACTCGGGCGTCCCGAGGCAAAACAACGTAACTGAGTTAACTCATATCTAATTTTACCAATGACTTGATGAATAAGCTAGATAATGCATATGATTGCCCCAGACATGATAGATTCAACAAATATGTCGCAATTGCGACAATACCGCGCATGACATGTTTCCAGGGTCAAACAAGGTGTCTGTGAATATCGAGATAACTCTGAAGTAAACCAACAGTTGTAATTAAAATATTACATATAATCGTAATGTTTATAGATATATAGGCCTATTCCTGCAGAATTTCAGAAGGGTACAAAAATTTATTGCCAAGTTGCAAACTTTAACTTCAAACAGAACAGCCGGTCACACTTGTACTGGCCTCGAAGGAACGAGTGCCCCCTATCCAGTCTGTGAACACTTCAGTACACAAATATAACAAACACCCATTGACAGTTGTACGTGGTATTTATTCCTCCTATTGTGACCGTCGAGTAAAACTGTAGTTAACATAACAAAACAAACTACTGTACAGTATGAATATTCACAATTATCAATATCGTATAATTATCAATTACCCAAGGCTATATAACATAAGGATATTCCTACAGTCAACCTTCAGGATAGTGCCAACGGACACTGGAAGCATTCAGCGAACTAAAATGCACTCCCACATGGATGTATCCTTAAGTCACTTATAGTGGATTTATCCCTGTCATAAAAAGAACCAAAAACGTTTATAATACAGTATACAGTATATTTTTAGTTTCAGCATAAACACCAATAGCAAATAAATCGGTATTAACAATTCCTGTGCATAGAAGCAGGCTCCGTGCTCGGAAACCGTACAACAATGACGTCGTCTATACACCCGAGCTTACTCATGCAAACGAGCACCGACCTGCATGGCCTAGCACAATCTACAATGGCTAATTAATTATGGCGTAGGCCTATATCAACCTACAATAATATACTTAGTGATTTATGCAGAACTGATATAAACCGTTAAACTGAGCATATCGTTAAATGTCTACTTTCAATATTCTATAAACTTATGTGATCATTTATCATTTATTATGTGATCACACTTGTGTGATTATGAACCATTACACGTCAAATAAGCTTGATTTCGACCTAAGACAAAACTCAGGAGCAGTTCTAGGCACATAAACAAACAACAACTAACTAGGCTGCTCGAGTATCTAGGCCACAGATTTCATCATCTGCTAATCAACATCAAGATGCTACCAATGTTAAATAGTTATACTGTACCACACAGCTTAAGAAATCACAATACAATCAATATTATGTGATCCTTAAAATAATCAGTTTATAATTAATTAACAATAATCAAACTTACTGTAGAGGTACAACCTTCTTTCTAGTTGTATAGATCGTCTACTCTTAAACACGCATCTATAGTTACGCCCTATGGATAGCCCAAAGGGCCAAAACAACACTCCCTGCTATCATTATGAGAAATAGAAATATTTTAATAATTGAGCCACATTTTACATCCATATTTTCCTGAGCAAAAGCCAAGTGTATGGTTTGAATGAGTTTAGCTGACATACTGTACTTCCTTGTAGAAATTTAAAAAAAATTGAATACTGGATGCAATATTAAAAAATTGCTTTTTGATTAAACATACCCACAAGTTAAGGGACTTGCACTGTCAGTATGACGATTGTCATGTTTTGTGAAAAATTGATTTCCCGTGTATAAACCAACTCAAAATTTGACCTAATTTTGTGTTCAAGGAGAGTGGTATTAATAAGAATAATGATGAAATTAATCATAACAAAATAGTAAAATAACACAAAAACTATAAAACTATTAATTTTGTTAAATTTATTTCTAACTATAACCCAAAAAGCTACTTCATGTACTTCATACAATACAATCAAGTTCCTAGTCCACATTTCAAGCGCCCTGACCATCTTATATTAGATGGATGTGTACGCTATATAAAAATACCCTATTATTATTATTATTATTATTATTATTTATATTCATACTAGGAAAAGAAAGTTTTTTAAACATTGTTAAAAAATACCATAAAAATCAAAACTGGCACTAAAAAAAAAACGTTAAGATCTCCAAAGGGTGTGGAGTCACCATCCGCAGTCCCTCTAGTGCATGCAAAACTGTGAAGAAGCCAAGCAGTTGGCATTGACATAAGTTTGATACCTATCATTTACTATCATGTAACCAAATTTAATGCATCAGACAAAGAAAATCAGTATCATTATTTGCACGTGCTCTTTTCATATCTGGAATTTTTCTTTGGCAATTTTCTGTTTAAAATTGTGGATAATTCAGATTGTAAAATAATCTGTATGCCTGATAATGTGTGTTGAAAATATACAGATTTTCTTTTTTTCCCCTCCAAAGTGACAAGGTAGATTTATTAGAAATATACTACCTTTAAAAAACATGTATCTTTTAGACAGTCTGTAGATAAACTGACACATTGTTAGTTCATCAAGTTCACATTCATTCAGAGTTGTAGTGTGAGTTTCATATGCAATATAGCCTTTGAAACCTATCCAATATTATATTTGTTTGAATGCTTTGTTTTGCGCTCTAGGCAGAACCGTTGTCAAACTAGACACAAATTCACTGTAGGTCTCAGCTGCAAGACTTGGCACATACTAAATAGCTTGTGTATCTGGAAAATATGATTTATAGTATCATTGATGTTCAAGGAGACATAATGATACACTACTTTTTTGCATTTGCCTTAGTATTGAACCAATTCTATAATTCCATTGAATATTTAAAGATTTTTTAATGGTTTCTTAGAATCTAGGATACTGAATATGTTGCATGTCAAATACTACAGCTTTACTATAATAATTCACCTGCAGGATTTTAATTAATTACTAGGAGCTTGAAAATATGATATATTGCATTGTTGATGTTCAAGAATACATTGTTTTTTTTTTTAAATTAATATAATAATTCACAGTAACCCTATCAACTAGTATTTTCATTCAGCAAATCTGTCATTTTTCCCAAGGTGAAAGACAATAGAATGAGAATTTCATTTGTCTTTCAAGTTTTCTGAGGCAATTTATTGCAATTGGGAAAATCAGTAGGCCTATGTGGAGAACTGTATACATTTTATACATTGTAATTCAGTTATACACATATTTACAACTGTTTGCTTGAAACTGTTGATTTTAGCTAAAATTTTAGCCATTTAAGAGTGTCGGCATTTACAATTTTTTTTATACTTTGTTTAATAAACCCACTGCCCGTCAATAATCGTGATTTTAAATAAAACTAAAATTTTATTTTTTGCCAATTAGTGTACTCGCCGCCACAAAAAATGGAAATTTCAGAAAAAAATAGATTTTTTTATTTTTATTATATCTGCTGCTAGCTTGAAATCTCCAAAAATAAGATGGTATATTTCTTCCTAATTATGCGAATTTATAACATTATATCAATTCCATTACTACACTGTTTACATTCACTAATAAAATGTTATTTTTATTTTCTAAGTCTGGATGTTTTTTTTAAAACTCCTCTGACGATCTTTAAAATAACAAGTTCGCGAAACAAGGTATGAAAAAGTCTCATCTAACCTTTAATGTTTAACATATTATGGTAAAATGTATTTCTTTAATGGTATTTACCAATAAGATATTTTAAACAAAGGGAATTTTCAAACAAACCATGTGTTTACTGTGTTTGACATTTATAATATTGAATACTTAAAAAACAATGTACTGATAATTTGGTTCTTAGAATCAAGGCTGAATAAACGCTACACAGCATTACACAGGATTAAATGATTATAAACGATGCTGTGTGTGGAACAGACTCACTAATGAATGCCGGATCTGTAGTTAATATCCTGATGACATACTGTATAGTACTTAACAAACAAGGTACATAATTACATACTAAGTATATGCAAGTTACATAGTAATATTCAAGGTAAATATTTAATGTACATAGTAACATTCAAGATAGTATACAATTATTGACTGCTGATTAGGGGAATAAAATCTATTGCCCCGAGGTGATGTAGAGACCATGGATAACCTATCTTTCTCAGGGAAGATAGGCTACGGCCTCCACATCATCTAGGAGCTCACCGTTCCCCCGAATCTAGAGCAGTCATTATTTGTTTTATACATACATTCTATGAGACCTAAAAATGTAATGAAAATAGTACACAAGTAAAAAGGGCCAATTTCTCTCAGCGTCGTAGAGGTCGCAATTCCTTTACCGTTCATTTTGTCATAAATTACTATAGTAACGTGGCCTAGAGATTGT